GCATGGGTTGCAATGAACAGTGTGTGCTTTGCCTTCCCAGAACCCCATCATCACCCAGTTCTTCCCCACCCTGCTGCTGTGGTGCTTCTCCGCTCTGCTGCCAACCATCGTGTATTACTCCGCCTTCTTCGAAGCTCACTGGACCAGGTGAGGACCGCTCTCTGCCTGTGCACTGCTGCCAGCTGTGCACACGCTCCCCACGTTGCACAAGAGCAGACGTCTTAGGCTTGCTAGTCCCAGGCACTGAAGTGCAGCCACCACTGTGCACTGCAGCTGTGAATCGGGCGCTGGATCCCACATCAGAGGCGGCTGCACTTGAGTGACTGGAAAACTGACTGCTGTATGCACAGTCTGTTTTGCTGTATGGGTTCTAGATGCCTGGCAGGCACGGCATGCGCATACATATAATTATCGTTCATGACGTGTCCCATGACCCAAGAGATTTGCTGTGTCTGTCCCGCATGTCCCTGTTCACATGAGGTTGCCTGGCTCAATCTGTTTGAGCTGAGATTTGCTGTAGACCTGCAATCAGGGGGTCTAGTAATCTGACCATAGGGCTGGCAGCCTGGAAATCCACAATTCTCATCCCAGCTGGATATGGCCCTGCGCCTCAGTTTCCTCCTCTGACCAAAGCGATGAATGATTCGAGACAGGGACAAGCTGTGTCCGCCACAGGGGAGGGCTTTACTATACCACTATACCAACAATTCTTGTGTGGTAAAGACTAGCCTCAGTTACTGTTGGGCACTAGGCATGATGCTGTCTGCATTTCCTCCTGTGGCTGATTCAGGAGGGCTGGAGGCTGTACTAAGTGAGAGGGGAAGGGGAATACAGGGATTAGAGTGCCTGCCTGGGGCTTAGGAGACTAGGGTCAGTTCCCTGCTCTGTTACAGATTTCCTCTGTGACCTTGGGCAAGTCTTAGTCTCCCCACCACATAGGGCTGTTGTGAGAATAAAGATATTACAGACTATAAGAACGTAAGACATCTAAGTACACAATATCCACTGGATCACCCTTGTCCATGTTTGTTGACCCTCTCAAAGAACTCTAGCAAAATAATATTTTTCTTCATGCAGTGTGCAGTCAACCTGTGGAACTCCTTGCCAGAGGATGTTGTGAAGATCAGGACTTAGGGTTCAAAAAAGATACATTCATGGCAGTTAGGTCCATCAATGCTTATTAGCCAGGATGGGTAGGAATGGTGTCCCTAGCCTATGTTTGTCAGAAGCTGGAAATGGGTGACAGGAGAAGGATCACGTGATGATTACCTGTTGTGTTCCCTCCCGCTAGGGCATCTGGCATTGGCCTCTGTCAGCAAACAGGACACTGGGCTAAATGGACCTTTGGTCTGACCCAGACTGGCCTTTCTTATAGAATCATAGAATTATAGAGCTGGAAGAGACCTCAGAAGGTCCAGCCCCCTGCCCAAGGCAGGACCAATCCCAACTTACATTAATAGTCAAGTGCAACAGACGGATCGGTGCCAAAGAGACCTAGTGGGTACTTTATAAGTATTTAAGATGGATCAGTAGATGGGTGTGATCACCCACAGCCAGGCTCTCAGTCCACTTGCTAATGGCCTCCCCTTTGCCTTCAGATCTGGAGAGAACAGGACGACCATGCACAAGTGTTACACCTTCCTCATCTTCATGGTCTTGCTGCTGCCTTCGCTGGGCTTGAGCAGGTGGGTGAGGAGGGAATGAAGCAGGTCTGGAGACCCATGCAGCACTGGGCTGAGGATCCCCTAGTCACTGGGGAGACAGCACGCTCACCCACCCAGCTCTTCTGTAACTATTTGCTGCCATCTGCGCATTGAGAATCGTTTCCCTGGCATTTAGGATGGTGGCAGGCACCTCAGAGTTATGGGGTTTGCCCTTTCAGCTCTGTGCAAGCTGGATCATTTCTCTCCAGTTGCACAGAGCTTAGATCCTGCTCAGTGGGCCCCATACAAACCTATTCAATAAGCGCATTCTCAACTCCGAATTGGCACAATTCCCCACTGTAGTCAGGTGGGGGCAGGATTCAGCCAGCCTCCCCATATATAGCAATGATGCACCGTGCTTTCAGGGTACAGAAATGACAGCCTGTCTCCTGAACCCCCTTCCCAAGCCCTCATGCAGGGTTACATGCTGACGCTCACAAAGCTGCCATTGCTGGTTACCCGCCTGCTCTGCCACCAGGACAGGTGCTCTGCACTGGAGGCCTCATTGCCCAGCTGCTCAGGCATGAAGTGGGAATGAAGGAGCATGCAAGAAAAAAGGAAAACTCCAGGAGATGCTCTTACTTTGTTAGGCCGCCTCCGCACTGAGGGAAAACCTCATTCCAGTGATCGGCATAGCTGCACCCTGGCTGACCTTGATGTGGAGATAGGGACATGCAGCACCGATTGCTGAACTGGGGCTGCTCCTGAGAATGGGCAACCCGTACACGGCTACAGAAAAACACTCTGAATCTGACTGTGTCAGCTCAACAAAAAAATTCTCCTGCAGAAGCTGAAAATACCTGACGCTGTAGCTGAATCTCCACTGATGCGAGCTGAATACAGCCGGTCCCCAAGTTGCGAACGGTTGACTTACGACCGTTCACAGTTACGACCAAAGCTGTCGTAAATGGCGGACCCTGAGTTACGAACGCAATCCGCGCTTACAAACAGCGTAGTCGCGTGTAACTCTATGGGGTCCGATTTACAAACGAACCGAGTAACGACCAATTGCTTGGTCCGTCACCGGTTCGTAAGTCAGGAAGAGGCTGTAGCTGTGTAATCTCTAAGGTGGGGGGTTCCCACTTAAAAGGTCCCTTCAGTTTAAAAATAGAATAATAGAACACTAGAACTGGAAGGGACCTCGAGAGGTCATCGAGTCCAGCCCCCTGCCCTCATGGCAGGACCCAGTACTGTCTAGACCATCCCTGATAGACATTTATCTAACCTGCTCTTAAATATCTCCAGAGATGGAGATTCCACAACCTCCCTAGGCAATTTATTCCAGTGTTTATCCACCCTGACAGGCAGGAGGCTTTTCCTAATGTCCAGCCTAAACCTCCCTTGCTGTGATTTTAAAATAATCATGCTGTTGATTAAGAATATTTTACTAGCTATTTATACAAGTGATGCTTCATGTTCAAACTCTTTGCTCCACAGATGATTCCATAGGAGACTATAGGCTGCAGAATTTGGGTCTAAATCTAATAGAATTAAAAGAAATCTGAGAACAAGGATTTATTTTCTGCCTGTTTATTCTGGTGTGTTTGAGGCTATTTGATCCAGATCCTCAAAAAGATTAAGGCACCTCACTGCCATTGATCTTAGGGCCTG